TACTAGGTAGGGCGAAGTACTATAAAATGTTTTTTGCAAAAAAAATACCTTATGCTTAGATATTTTATTAGCTATTCTGAAAGATTTTATTAAGGTTAAGAGTTGATATTGGTTAAAAATTAACGAGAATATTGTGTTTACACATGTATTTCTTCTTTTCATACTTCCTCAGAAATACTAGTAACATGTTTTTTGGAGGATGGAATTATATCTTTTAATCTAAAAAAAAAAATCTTATGATAATGTATTTATTTGTAATATGCAATTTCCTTTCTTCTCATAATAATTGGCATTTGAATGAATAATGAACTCAACCTTAGTTTTGTGAACATTGCACTTTTGACTTATTCTTTTGTCGTATATAAAGTTCTATGAGTCACTTTTTCATTTCGTAGAATCATCATTTAATGATTAATATCTACAAAAATTCAATGAGTCACTTTTTCATTTCGTAGAATCATCATTTAATGATTAATATCTACAAAAATTCAATTTCTGGTTCATTCGATATACATAAACAACATATTACTTTAGGTTCAATTCATCTTTGTTGATTATACAATTCGAAGCTAAATAAGATGTTTCAATAATGATTTTCATTTTTTGGAATGGATTGGTTTCACTTTTCCCTTTTCCTATTATGTTTGAAATACCACATTAATTTGAAATGTATTTGACATTTCAAGAAAAGTCTTAATACAAATATGATACGAAAATCTTTATGTGCCATGAGACAACCAATTTTCAATGAGATTTTAAGATGCATGTTTCATCAAAATTAGTTTTGTGCATTAAACACTTAAATTTATTATGAACGCTTTTTATTTCAATTTTAAGGGAAAGAAAGAAAAGATTAGATTTGCAGGCAGACACTGTTTGAGATGTGCATCAAGGGTGATTTTCCCAGTAATCTTTTAGTTTTGCTGGATATCCCCATATCGATAAAGACAAGTAAATTTATTACGTAATTGATTAGATTTCCAAATTTAAGGATTAGCTTTCATTATTATTATGAAGAAAACTATGTAAAGATGCACACTATTTATGGATGTTTGAAACTATAATACGTTCAGTAGATTTAATTCACATTGAATATTAGTAATAAATCTGTAAAACCCAATAGTGATTTTAAATCCAATTAGCACATTATACATTATACAGGTAATTATCATTACAATGACATGTTACAAGTAAGCTAAACAAATGTTACAAACAACAGAAGCAATAGTCTATCATTAATGGGTCTCTCTTCCTCAGATTTGAAAAAAAGGAAACAATCGATGGAGAGAGAGAGAGAGAGAGAGAGAGAGAGAGAGAGAAAGAGGGGGGGGACTCCTGTTTAATTATTGTGTTTTGAAAAATATCAAAATTTTATCATATGTAACAATGGCAATAAATATAATCTTATTTTACTTAAAAAGTTTAAATAATATTTATATCATTGAACAAAGCATGCAAAGTAATGTACATGAATTTTTGTGTGAACTTTTTGCACTAAAAAAAGTATCATATTTGGGGTATGAAAAAATCTAAATAGGCAACACAGTATTTCCTGTATCAAACTTTTCATGACTTATGTGCTGATCGGTTGGAAGTATCATGAAGTTTAAAATGATGAAAGAAAAACTTGGTGTCAGAATATGTTATTTTCAGGCAAAACAGTGTAATTTTATCTTGACCTCTTTAATATATCTTCATTTCTTGGCAAAGACTGTTGACTGAATGTGTAAAATTTGTTCTAAAGATATAAATTGAGACCGACCTATATTTAATATTCCTAGCATAAATTTTTGAGCAGTTTTTAAATTGAATGTTGTTTAACAAGGTTGGATCCTGATATTTAAAGTCTTGAATTTTTTTTTGTCAAGCATTTTTAGTTTCTACACACATAGCTTAATTAAAAATCAAAACCAAAAATGGGGATCAATATGCTTCTTTTGGCGCTACCGAACAATTAATATGACCTTTTTGCACTGAAATTTGTGTCTTATTCAAAAATCACATGTCGACGTTTTCCCTCAAGTGTTTTTATCCAAATAAATCATGGGACAAAATAAATTATAAGTCTATTTAAAAAAAGACATAATGAAATTGTGACTAAGAAAAGGTTTCAAATTGCTTCGCATAATCAATTATTTGACCTTTCTGCACTCACAAAATGTGATTTTTCTGGCATTAGAAATTTAACAAGCAAGAAAATTATTTTAAAGTCTTAATCTTTTGCTGAAATTATGCAAATCGATCAAAGTAATATATTCAGAAAAGAAAAACAAAAGTGGGGGTCTATAATGTAAATTTTTAGATATTACTAAAAAAGTGTTAATTTTATGTTAAAATTGGCTCTGGACTTTCAGAATATATGTACTTGTCACAATAAAATGTAAGAATTCATAAGAAATAATTTAATAGATATTTCAAAGCCAGCATAAAACATTTCACTGGGGAAAAAACAGCTCTGTCTGCAACAACATGGAAAAATAGGAATATAAACTTAACACGTACTGTATATATATTTCAAAAGGGAAAATTGATCATTTTCTTCCAAAAAAACCTTCCGCCACAAAATATAGTTCCTTGCTTAATCCTACTTGGATGAAATTTAATCGCGGTTTTTTCATTGGATATAGTTTAATTTGCATTGTAGAATCCAATGTTAGAACTTAAAAATGATGCAGAATTTTAGAAGTAAAGATCCAGATCAAATTCTGCTCAAAAGCTCAGGATCGAACCTCCTTAATTTGCATTGTTTAATTCAAATATGCTATAAAATTTGAGTTGCAATAAATAGTTTTGAAGTTAGAGGTTCTGACTGAACTTTTCTTAAAAGCTGACGAGCGACATACCTTAATTGAATTATTAAGGTATGTCACTCGTCAGCTTTTTAGAAAAGTTCAGTCAGATCCTTTAACTTCAAAACTATTTATTACAATTCAAGTTTCATAACATATTTAAATTAAACAATGCAAATTATTCAACATTCAATTAAAAAAACTGCTCAGAAATTCCTAAAGAAGCAAGATTTATGAGGGATTATTTCTTGTGGCGGCAGGATATTTAGAAGAAAATTCTTCAAATCTACACATTTGTTAAATTTAAAATCTTGGAACTTTAGCCCCACATATTTTAACTTAGAGAATATTTTCCGTTATGATATGCTAGGAATATTAAATATAGGTCTCAATTTATATATTTAGAACAAATTTTACACATTCACTCAACAGACTTTGCCAAGAAATGAAGATATATTAACGAAGTCAAGATAAAATCTACACCGTTTTTTTGCCTGAATATCGCACATTTTGACCAATATCTCGAAATTTACACCACTAACCCCAACTTTTTCTTTCATTATTTTTAACAACCCGATACTTCCAACCGATCAGCACTTAAGTCATAAAAAGTTTGATACAAGAAAATATTTTATTGCCTACTTAGATTTTTTATACCCCAAATGTGATACTTTTTACGTGCAAAAAGGTCACACAATAATTAATGCGCATTAATTTTCATGAATTGTTCAATGATAAATATTATTCAAACTATATTACGTAAAATAGGATTCAAACTATATTACGTAAAATAGGATTATATTTATTGCAATAATTACATGTGATAAAATATGATAAAGATAAAAGTGATTAACCAAAGAGTTACAATTTAAGTGCAAAAAAGTCAACTTAATTGTACCGTAGCTCAGTAAGATTCACACTGACCCCCCATTTTCTTTGCAATTTTGAGTCATGCTATATGAGTACTTATCTAAAATATACTTCTCAAAAAATCCTTGATATAACTAATTTCACGAGTGACATTACTTAAATAATTGTTAAAAACATTGACATTACGTTACGTTAGCTTACATGTCTTCAAGTCTAAGAAATGTTTGATAACTTATTGTTTGCCTTGTGGCGAAAAAAATAATATGGAATGTGAAATATGACACACATGCAGAGCTCGAAAAAATAATGAAGGAGGACACTGCTCACAAACACAGCTCTTACTGCCCTTTAATGTTGTATATTACAACTTTGAATCTAGCAACAGCTGACTCGGACTTTTAATCCTATGGGACGGGTGCTTCTTTCTTCCAATGAGGTGCTTCTCAGTTTTTAGACCATTTAACCAATTGCAAGAGCCGTGAAATCTATATTTCTTAACATAGACTATTGATTCAGTATAATAACATAAATAGAGATATAGAAGAATATTCTTAAAGATTTAAAATGTTTACACGATATAAATCAACCAACCTCATTCAGGGATCTACGTAACAGATTCATTGGACATGGCATCAAAATCTTTCGGTAAATGATTTATTTTTAATATGTTTTCGGTGCGACCGATGAGGTTGACTTCATTTACTGGATGCATACCATCAAAAACCATCGTAGGTTTTGATCCGCTTCTTTAAACAACAAGACCCAGTCTAAACTCTGTCATCAAATGACTAGTTTCACCTCTATAACGGAGTCTTAATTGAGCAAAACTTTTAACGAAAGGCACTGTTCTGAATAGTAGATAAAATTATTTTTAAGTTTTCTTTAAGCTCTCTGTAAAGATTAAAATCCACACGATTTATCTAACCAAGGTACTGCTAAAATCGCCATTGTAGTTGGATTTGTGGTAGCAAAAGAATTTTGGGAAGGTTTCGCACAAAAATTTTGCCTAAAGTATACATATATTAGCTTAAATTTCCTCTTTACTCACACGTTAGTCTTTAGAGCTCGCTGCGCTCGCTTTAAACATTGGAATAATTTGTTTTGGAGATGTTCAGAAGTAAAGAAGATTATTTAAGAACACATCAAGGTTGGAGGTTTGCCCCTCACATCTTGAAAACTCTAATTTTTTTTTTTGGCTATATAGAACTATAAAAATATTTGATTGTTTAAGAATGGAGCTATATGACACTTAGAAAAATACAACACACAATCCCCAATGTTTGTACATTAATTTATTTCAATTCTATATTTTTTTTGTTATATACGTCGTCCTTTGAATCTCTAGAAGAAAAGAATTGGGTCATACTGATTGGCGAATTTAACTCCGTCCACTCTGCTCCTATTGTTTAAGTCAGCATAGATTCTGACGTGTATGAACTGGGGTCGATGGCCTCCTCCTATTTTTACCTGATTAACAAAGAATTTTTGACGGAGATTAAATATAATGATGAATGTTCGAGAAATATGTAATAAATCGATATTTCTGGTATTTATTTATCATCTATTTGAAGTTTTGTCTATCTATATTCAAATAATCATTTCATAAGGATTCCTAAGATTTATTATCAATTTTAATGGTAGTAATCATGCACTTAAACAACCAAGATACTTGAAACCATTTTTATCAGAATTTAGAATAAGTTATATAGTATTTATTTAAAGAAAACTCATGCTTTTCAAAGGTATGGATTAGTATCAAAGAAATTCTTTCATTTTGAATAGATTTTCATCCTGTTTAGAATTAATACCTTGATAAAGTAGTTAGTTCCTGCGACCAGCTGTTCTCTAAATACCAAAGCTTTCATTCGTCCAATTGGTTCCAGTATATCTGGAGGAAGCTTTCGAATAATTGCGTTACGATTCTGAAATGTATCAATTCTCAGTAGTAAGTTTCTCTCATATTTTCTTACAGTTTTACCGTGTAGTCAATTAAATGGACAAATTAAAATATTTTTTTCTGATTTTTTTACTTGCAACATAGTACCTTTAAGTAATAAGTTATATATTTTAGCTTAGTTTTTGGGATTGTCTATCTGCTACACAGTGTAATAAGATTCAGTTTAAATTAATGGTTATAATGGATCTTCATGTTTTTGCTTTTACAGTTCATAAGTTGTGACCAACAATCAATTATAATTAATCAAAGAAATGTAAACATTTAGAAGACTATAGATTGATGAGTTTCAATTCTAAAATGAACATTTTTGCTTTATATAAATATCATTTCCTAACCAAATTTTACGGAAAAAATTATAAAGGTTTTTTTATTTAATTGATCGACTACACAAAATGCTGCAATGTCTCTTGTACACTTTTTGAATTTAACTTACCGCTTGTACCAAAGCCTGTACCCCAGGTGTTGCAAATTGTTGTTCTCCTAGACCCCCTGTTTTAAAACCTCTTATGACGTATTAAGTCTCTAAAAAGACAACCAAAATAAGGCTCAACGAAAAAATGTGCAATCGTTTCATCGTGAACAAATTGTTGACAGGAATGATGTTAAGACAGCTTCTCGGCTCTATTTATATCACCTGTTTGATGTCCACATGTTGCAAATTTAGGGTAATTTTGCATTTAGCTCATCTGAATTAGAAATTTTTTATTCAAATTTGTTCCCCGATCTCTGTTTCATATGTAAGTCCAGTATCTCGAAGAATGATTCTTAAAACTTCACTTTCCTCTTTTGAAGAAACGACTCCAGTCGTAAAAATACATGCCACACAACATTATGTTTAAAATGGAAATCGCATAAAAGAATGTCTACATGTGTTTGTATATAAAAAAGAGAGAAATATACATTAGATAAGACAAAGACATCGTCCTCAGGAGCAATAGCATTGGATCCTGTATCCAATGAAATGTTTCATAGATAAAATGTTTTAAAAAATCTAATATGGTGTTGTTTTATTTTTTATAAAGATGAGTTCTTACATACTTGTTAAGATCATTTTCTCTGCCCAATTCTCTTATAGAGTTTTGATTTGATGATAAGGATGAGAAAATACTTTGACTCAAATAGGTTTTGAAAATAAGTATCAGCGTCTCACCTTGTCATTCAGATGATTGATTAAAGTGAAAATTACATGTAATAGTTAAAGTATTTGGTGCTTAAATATTGATTATTTGTTTTATTTGTTAAAACTTGTTTCTAGCAAGAGTACCCAGGAAAAAAAACTTATAAAGCATATATATAATGGGGCCGACCATTTTGTATATTTTTTAAAAAAATATTTACTGTACACAAATCTGCATGAATATAAGGGTGTGTCTCTGATGTAGCAGCAATTACTTTCGAATAGAAATCAACATCAATCTTCTCTTGAGGTCATTCCTTATGAACCTTTAAATAAAGCAAAACAACCTTAGGGTATCACAAAAGTTCAGGTCACGAATTAATAATCATCAATATGGTTTGCAAGAGGGATCAAGATCACCTGTTACAAATTACACAAACATTCGGCTATTATTAATTACATTGGTCAGTATATCATAAAGACCAATAATGGTGAACCTCAAGGGTTGCCTCTTTTTGTTCCTTTCTTTAGCAGGTTTTGTCGATTCTGCAGTCTATGGTGGTTATGGTCCCGAAGTTCCTGCTACCCCAAATATACAGACATTGGTAAACAAGGTAAATTTGGTCGCTTATTTATCATTTTCTGACGTTGGACAAACATGTAAATGTAAGATTCTTTGCAGAACATTTTGCTTAATATTCAATGCACCGTTTCGAATTTTAATCGTCTTTAATGATATGAAATGTATGACCTGAATATTTCCAAAATATCGATTTTATTTTTCAGGTTGGATATTTTTAATTTAAGAAATATTTGTAAATATCTGATATGTTATACGCTGATCAATCAATATTATTTATCAAAATACTTCAGCACTATGGAGACATCTACAGACTTCTACCACTTGGATACTACCAAACAGTACCCGTGACGCCATCTCTAAAAGCATATAGTTATCGCATGCAGATCGTGGCAGGGACCAACTACCTGATAAAGGTCTTTAAATAATTAAAATTTAATAGATTACAAGATCTTAATTGATTTTGACAAATATAATTTGCTCGGTTTGTTTACAGAAGAATAACCAATGATAAATAATGTTTGTTCATACTCCGCTACTGGTGAAACCAGACAATAGGTTTCCTCTCCGTCCGTCCGTCTATCTGTGTGTCTTGCCTGTATTTCAGTCAGTTTGCCACCGCTTGTTTTTCACTACGTTTTCTTTCTAAAAGCTTGCGTTTATTGGGCTGATCTTTATTGTAATAGTCTATTTTAATGATTAAATATCCCAATTTTTCCGCTTTATTTATATTTGATATTATTGCCTCAGGGAACTCAGTTTTGTTCGCATGTATGTAATACTATTTTTGTTGAATTTTTGTTTTTAATTGTTTTATAAGGAATGTGCTAGAAAGCATATTATTAATTCAAATACGTTTATTTTTGTAGATAAATACGGGCTATAACCGATTCATATATGTTACAATTTACAAGGACCTGTCCAACAACTCGAGAGTGACCAACATAAGTTTTTGAAAGATAAGACTGTAGTTTTCAGTACAGGGAAATTTCAAGTTATTGAAAAATAATTTGAAAACAAATCTACGCATATGCATGTTTATTGGTGAAACATTTCGTCATTGTCTTATATGTATCTTACCTTAAATACTACAAAAAAACCGACTGATTTTTTTATGTCAAAGAAATTGTTAAAATAAAATGATTGATGAAAGCTAAAAGAAATTAAGTACTTCTGTGTTTTGACGCTTAAATAAGCAAAAAAAAAAAAATCCCTAAAAAGAATAAGATAAAGTCTCCTATCCTTTTGTATAAATCCGAAGAAACAGACAACATGTTAGAGAGACTCATACAGAAGTAAAGAGTCTCTTGGAATTTTGTTTCTACAGTGTGCGCAATGAGAAAATTTATATTAATAAACACCTCTTTAGCTTAACCTAACAGATAATCATATTTCTTTTTATATTCATAAAATGTCAAGATAACAAACAGTAATCGTACTCAGATGTCCATGTAGGCAATTCAAATTGTAAGGAGCAAAGCCAAGATGGACCTCTGAAAACAGAGGTGGGAATTGGTGGCATGGAGGATTACAGTGTAAACATTCCTTGTAGACCGAACACACTCGAAGTCTATGCTAGGGTAAACGGAAAAATCCGTGGACAATTCAGTGTAAAAATTATGGTCTAAATATTTCTAAGATAAAAGTCAGTCAACATTCGACTTAACGCTAGATTGTATATGCTAAAAATGCCATAGAATTTGCGAAATATTTACCTTTCACGAGATTGTTGATATCCATGTATCATCAACTTATTTTTCAATAGCTTTTAGAAATTCTTTGTTCGTGGAACATGCTCTTGAGTATCGAATCAAGTGGGAGATATAAACTCCATATGCAGGTGATAATGGTATATTGATTCATAAATAAAGGATGTTGACGATAGAAAAGTTGGTCTACACATATTTCATAAAGTTTAGCTTTTAGTTTGCCTTCAATGTCTTTCTCTAATAAAATATCCAAATATGAATCATGTGTCAGATTCTGTGGTGTCTTTTCTTTCTAGTTCAAAGGGACATATTGAATCAATGTAAGAATGAAAATAAATATTGTCAATTGATAAAACGTCGTCGATATATCTAATTTTTTTTTTTTTCATGTAGGCGTTTTTGAATAAATTTTCTTCATATGAATACAAAAACAGGTCGGCTAATAACGGGGCACAATTATTAATCATGGAAATTCTAGCACATTTTTGGAAGACCTGGTCTCCAAAAACTAGATAGATACTGTCAAAGAGAAACTCAAGCATTTTGTTTATATAAACCTCTGGAACTTGTGTATAGAATCAGCATGTTTTTTTTAACAAAATAAGTTAGCAGATGAAGATTTACGACTGGTTTTAATTTTTACTGAAATCGTCTATGATGTCAAAAAGCATGGTCTTTAATTTATCGTGTTGAATGGTTGTAGAAAGTGCTGAAATTCATACGTTTTGATTTTATTAATTTTAGTGAGATTGCTAATTTTCTGAAAATTCGTTGGAAGTTTGAAGCATTCACATCTGATTAAAACCACTTCTCGAATATGTTGTTGTTCAATACTAGTACTCCTGAAGTTTTTTCCTTCACTGCTATTCATATTATATGAGGAATAAAGAAAAATCTTGATAGAACATTTACTAGAACCCTCTATGTATCCTCGTAAAGATTTTTTATGAAGTTTAGGAATCTACTATGTAGGTGTGGCATTCGTGTCGCCATTATTAACGTCTGTTTTCTCTGAAAATTCACGACAATGTTATTTTTCTTATGATATTGAAAAGATAATAAAACCATAGTTTTAAATTTCTATAAATTTATTACATTAAAACATGGCGGTTCTGGTCATTAGAAGTATACGATTGGGTCATACTGAGCCACAACTTTGACATCCTCCACCTTACTACGATTATTCAGACCTGTGTATATCTTCACATGTAAGTACCGAGGGCGAGTACCTTGCATTTTTACCTGAAAAAGCAAATGATTACCTGAGTTAAAAATTTGTTTTAAGAGCATGAAATTCATGTAACTCAACGAAAATTCTTTAGTTTTCTTGCTGCATATTCTGATAAATTTAAATTTTCTAGATGTTTACATACCTTGATAAAGTAGTTTGTTTCTCTCACAACCTGCTTTCTAAACACTTGAGCCTTCAAAGGTCCGAAAGGTCCGTTCATATACGATGGTAATTTACGGATAATGGCGTCCCTATTCTATAAGAAGATGATATTGACGACTTTGAAAAAATTATTTTCTCAGTTCATTCAACTATATACATGTAATTTAACTTATGAATATAATATCAAAAGATTATATTATATCAGAATAAAAGGGGAAAAGTGAAATTAATTGCGTCTATTTAGCATACCTTTTGAACGAGGGCCTGTTCGCCGGGCCCTGCATACTCCTGTGGACCGAGACCTCCGGGAGTGCAGTATGTCTCAGTGATGATCGCCAAGAGGAGACCAAGAGCAAATACGGAAAAAACGTTCATGATGCTTCTTTTATTTGGTAGTGAGGATTTTTCTGTGGTCAGCACTACTTTTATAGCACCTAGCCTTTGTCCCACATGTTACAAATATACACCCCTGTCATCATAACTTTTAAATTCGTTCCACGTAAGCTAATGTTTATTACTGTATACGTGTACGTCATGTTGGTCGAGTTGTTGTATGTAATTATTATAATTAATCAATCTTTAATCCACATATTTCTGCATGAACTTTTCACCGATTGTTGAATGAGAATATTTTAACTTTGTTTTGGAAGACAGATAATTCCACAGATCTAAATTTATAAAATTTCGTGAAACATGTTTCATTCATGATCATTCTATTCACAGAAAAATGTAGTAGAAAAATATAAATTTATTCATGGTATGTATGAAAGTGAATACAGGAAATAAATATTTCATAATATAAAATATATTTCGTATTAAGATAAAATGATAATAAAACTAGTGAATTTATTAAAATTTTATATAGTTAATACTCGACTAAATTTCAAATAGATTGAATTGAGGATTATTTTGTAAACCTTAAATGTGTGTGTAAATGTATGTTATGCATTTACCGTCTGCCTTTACAAATTCCAGAGCTGTATTTTTATGATAAGTTTGTGAGTGAAGTATTGAAACAGTGTTTATACTAAATAGGAAATTCATCGGATGGTTGGAAGGGGATTAGGAAATCCGTATCTTCTGGGAATCAGAGGTATAAAATTATATTTTAAAATAATGTAACCAAAAAAAAAAAAAAAAAAAGGTTCCTGCACCCCTTCTACCGGGAATCAAAATATTGAAATTTTCAATTTAATTCTTTTGAATATTTATGGTTATTATACTAATTTAGTTTTAATTATATTTATCTGTATGTCTAATGCTACAGAATAAATAAAAAAAGACATTTGAAATGTAAATGTGTAAATATCGATATATTTCACTTTCTTTTTATTCTATTAACTAAATTTTTGATGTCGGTTCCAATGTATGGTTAAAAGTAAATGATAAAATACATGAAATGAAAAAGACCTGTTCTCCGAAGACTACATAATTTTAATTTATCGTGAGGAGTGGTTGTATAAAGTGTAGAAAAGTAGTATGTTTTGATGTTACTGACTTGTGGAGAAAAATGGAGATTTTAAATTTTCTGAAAGTTTGTCGGAGTTTTTGAGAATCCACACCTGATTACATCTCATATAGAATATGCAGTAGCACATTACGTCTGAAGTTTGAAGAAATATCTCGCGTTATATGTATGAAATGCAAAACATCGGGTAAGGTTTCGTGCGAATTTGTGGAATAATTATTTTTCTGACCGGACATTGGGATTCTAGCAGCACCTTTTAGACATAAGAGATGTTTTTCAGCTATATTATTTACTCCAAGAAATTATTAAACCCCGGGGTAGTGTTGTTCTGTTTACTTTTTCAATATGGATTATTTTTCTATTAATAGCAGTCACGTGATGACGTCGTGGTGGTGTACGTCTTGGTCTCAGGCACACTCTGTTGTCTATACGCAATAGTTAATAATAGTTGAAGTTTTATCGTCGGCTTTGATAAATTATCCCGAGAAAAGATTTGAATGCGTCCTTAACATACCCGCGATACCATGCAACAAACTATTAAAAGTTAATCACAAGCAATAAGTCATATATTGCCCTACCATCCCAAACCTGTTGGTACATGCTAGAAGTCAAAAACCTAATCAAAAGCACCAGTAACATCTGGTCTGTAATGACTAATCTATCAGGGAACTTCACATGTATTTAAATCGGCGATTCGTGTATATCAGGAGAGTATTTTCAATTATATAATCAAGATGGCAATTCGTGTCACAGTGGTTCTCACTTTGGTGTGTTTGGCGGTCATCAGTGTGAATGCGTTTCGTCGTCCCGGAGGACTAAGTAGAACAAAACCTGCAACCCCAGAAATCCAGGGACTTGTTAATTCCGTAAGTAAAAATAACATGATCAATAATTAATATTTGAATCAATCTCTAAGCAAGCTATCCAAATGTCGTAATGTAAAATGGTTATCGGCTAAGACAGCCACTTCTTGGATTCGTTCATCAACCTATAGGATACTATAATACTACTTTACAGAAATATTATTTCTGCATCAGGAGTACAAATATATTGGACTACGTTCTAAGTTTCAGCAGGTTCCACGACTTTAACGTAGCTCTAAAAATGGGTAAAAATTGATGCAAAATTTTCAAAAGATAAGATGCTTTGAGAAATATTTGCGTTTTAAGTACGTTATTTTGCGTGAAAATAAAACGATTAAGTAAAAATAGATATCGTTTATAAAGAACATGTTTTAAAGGGAAAAATCAATTTTACAAAAGTGTTGAAGAATAAGAACTGGTTGATTATATTATTTGAAATTATCATGTAAAATCATCACTTTTCTCCTTTGACCATGTGTAACATAGAAAAAAAAATGTTTGCGAGGATAATCACATATAGAATCTTTTTGTAAAATATTTTTTTTCAATTATTTAATCATTGTAAACGAAAAAAAAAAGTATATTATTAAATTGATCACATGCAGGTGCGAGGGCAAATAATCAGTAAGCTCCCCCTAGGATACGACAGAGAACAATACTTACCATTGACAGCTCGTTCATACAAAGAGCAGATCGTCTCCGGCAAAAACTATTTCATCAAGGTAAAATCAATGCTTACATATTATGCATAATAAAATGAATTTATATAATTCATATTTTAAACTTCTGCATTTCGAATCACATATACCTTATTTTTTTTAACATGGATGTCTCAAAAAGAAAAATCTTTGAATTCATGGAATTGTGGCTTAGTGTACAATGAGTTGCATACAGTAATATAAATATATATGCAGACATTTTTTGTACATTGTAAAAAGCACCATTTATTTATATTTAAATTCATTTATTATCAAATGAATTCGAGAACTCATATTTGTATATTTGTTTTAAATTGCAGATTCAGACAGGACCAATGAGATATATTCATGTAAGAATATACAAACCACTGATTGGTTTTACTTCCGTGCACAGTGTCCAGTTGCAGAAATCCCTCTTGGATCCGATCGAATATTTTTAAATACGTTAAATAGCAAACGCTTTTTGTATTATCAAAATTAAAGCACTTTAAAGTAAATACATGTTTTCCTAACATTAAGGACCCTCTATGCACTAAAAGATTGATTGATTGATTGATTGTATGTATGTATGTTGTTTTACGTCCCATTTGAGAATTTTTCACTCATATAGAGACGTCACCATATACCGGTGAAGGGCTTCAAAATTGACCTTTACTCGGCACTCAGGGCCATTGAGCAGTGAGGGATCTTTCCAACTCCTGCCGTGACAAGGGGCCTCGGTTTTTACATGTAAGGTCTCATCCGAAGGACCCGCTACTTTCACTTCAGAGTGCCGAGCTCATGGCGAAGGAACATTTGCTACCCATTTTTTATCGACTTACGCGGGTATGTTAAGGCTACACCCAGATATATCCTACTTCCCTTCACAATATGACGTCATAGTAAGCTGTATGACGTGAACTATAGAAATAATGATTTCTTAATATCTATCTTTAAAGTTTAATTTCAGGTCCAAGAAAAGAATGGAATCATTCAAAACATAACATAAACTAAATCTTGTCGTTTTTGGGTGGTATAAATAGCTAATTATTTAGCACGGGGGTTAAATACCAAACCCATGACGTCATAAATATTGATCAAATATTTGCCGAGTGAAATGAGAATTCATGTAAACAAATATATGAAATGGGAGTTTTAAGGCATATACCATGAATGTTATGTGTGATTCATAAGGAATTAAAGATTAAGAATCAGGTACGCTGATATATTCTTATCATGTTTTCTTATAATGAACATAGTCAGTGCTTTGAAATCCCGATCAGCTGTTCCTCTGTCGTTCTATAACAACAAAGATGCAAAAGTTCAACACTACGCCGCATACTTTGAAATATAATTTTTGTTTGTATCGAAAGCTTGTATTCTATAGTACTTGGAAAGTGCTGCTAGAATCGTGTGGTTAACATGAATTGATAAAAATTCCTTGATCGTATGTATAAAATGTAAAAATTTTGGTAAGGTTTCATGCGAAACTTTGGAATATTTTTTTCTGTGTCACGAGAGTAGGATTCTAGCAGCACTTTTCATGGCCCAGTGATGTTTTTACATAATTATTTTCACTAAAAGAAATGAATTATCTCCGGGGTAGTGTTGAACTTTTCACTTTTTCATTAAGGCAATTTTTCTATTTATAGACGTCACGTGATGACGTCGTAGTGGAGTGCTTCTTTTAGCCTAAGACTCAATGACGTCTATACAATGGATAATAATAGTAAATGTTTTATCTATGGTTTTTCCGACTTATCAATGTTACATTTTACGAAAAAAGTCTAAATTCGCCGAAATATGATCTGGGTACTGCCTTAACATACCTGCGTAGGTCAGTCGCGGCCGAGACTCGAACTCACGATCTCCCGATCACGGAGCGAGCGCTCTACCGACTGAGCTACCGTGAACGGTCTGCACTAAAAGAAAAGATATTTTAGGATATTGAGAAATTTATAGTGTGTAAATATTCAGCTTATCTATAACATTTTGAACATAGGGTACCTTGCATTTAGCCCCAGGAAAAATGTTCAAAAAGAATGAAGTATTGATGAACAGAAATAACTGTTATTTACTTACTGGACAAAATACCTGCAAATGAAGTGTTCAATCTATTTAACTTGGCCTATCAAAATGTTATGAATGCTTGATTTGATCACAAAATAAGTAATACACTGTACATTTGTATTTATTTTATTCTAAATAAAAGGGCAGATTACTCGATCTACATAAAAATACCAAAAATTAGAACTATTTAGTGTGCAGTGTATAGAGGCTCTAAACTACTCAGCTGTTACACGAAAAAAATAAGTGTCATTAGATTGAGGTCACCAATTTGTAAAGAGAGGATGTTTGTTATTTTTTGCACGTTAACTTACGAAATGTCTAAAATAATCCCTACTATTACAACAGCTTGAACAAATAATTCGTCGTGAAAAATTAAATTAATAAATTTTATAAATATCACATATGATTTTCAAAAATGAAGACACTAAGGTAAAACTCGATTTGAAAACATCAGAAATTTGATAAAAATGTTAAATGATTATGTTTTAACTTTAGAAAGTAACACATGACTGTTAAAACACCCCCGTCCCGGCCATTCAATTGCAGCATGCAAGTCTGCAATAGACAACAGTTGCAGCTTGATTTCAACGATGTAATAGGTTCATCAATCTTGAGATCTGAGGGAAAGAAATATTCTTTGCCATTTTTAAATGCCTGTTTTTCAGAGATGAGGTCGAATTTTCTCTAGCCAAGCGCAGTGTAGTAACCCTTGGACTTCCGGTTCAAGGACTGTCATTCATGCTAATGATACCTAAGAGCCTGTTGAGGCGTGCTGTGGGTCATATTTGCATCTGCAACTCTCCATCACCTTTATTTTGAGATATTTAGAGCAATGGAAATGCGTAATTAAGTCATTTTCAGGAAGCCTTGGCATCGCTTATGGAAAAGAAAGAGGAATTTATTTTTCGAAACATTGCTGCATTACGTATGATGAACAGATACAAATCCTTAAAACCCCATATTTTTGCCAAATGTTTTGTTAAACATTCAATTTTTGATTTCTGTTAAGCAGACTCAAACTTAACTTCCGGTAATGGTGTGAAAATCATTCAACCATTAAATTACTGATATTTACAAAGCTGAAGATGTCCTTACTTTTCAGATACAAAATTATATCCTATACATTTATGTAATATTTCCCCCTAAAATATGATGTTGCGTTTCTTTTGCGTTTCAGCATATATGTTACGGTGGTAAAGAGATAAGGATGATTTAAAGAACTATAATTATTTTGTAGAGTACGTCAACTTTACAAATGAAAAAGAACAAAACTGTTGCGATAAACAGTAATGAAACAAATAAACAAACATTTTGACCCATATTTGTCTTATTTCAAAAATCTAAGTATTAAGTCTTTTTCACACAATACTGTTACATGTAGCTAAGTTCATAATCGAAATAAGTACTTTCAAAGTAAGATATGTTTCAATTTCTGTTCATACAGACTGTTCACCTCGAAAACGTTTTTTTTTTTTTTTTTTGTCATAAAGCTAACTTATGATAAAATAACCATTTAAAGACCATATATTAAAAATGTATATTTCCGTGCTGAGCGAGTTAATAGGATCAAAACTGTAAAAAACTTTAATTGAGAGAAATAGAAGTTCAAAATTTAAACCTTTTAATAGATTGTTGTTTTCAATCCTGTTCGGTCGCCCACGTGGCGCAGTGGTTAGAGCGTCTGCTCTAGATTCGCGGAGTAAGGTGTTGATCCTCACCTCGCGGGTTCGAATCTACTGCGGGACGTGGAGACCAGTCCTTCGGATGAGATATATAAACCGAGGTCCCGTGTCGCAGTGGGTATTGGCACGAAAAAGATCCCTCATTGCTCAATTGCCCTGAGTGCCGAGTAAAGGTTAAAATCGGCAAGTTGTGGAGTCTCCATATGAGTGAAAAATTCTCGAGAGGGACGTTAAATAACATACAAACAAACATACAAACAAAACAATCCTGTTCGAAAATTTAAAAAAAAGTAACCGTCAAATAAAATATGTTGAAGTGTTTATGAATTTAAGGAAAAACTCCACAATGTTTAAAAAGAACTGTATTTTTTGAATGCTTTGTTTCACATGGTTATTTTGCGATATCGTTCTTACACAAATATACAGATAATGTATTTGTGTAGGTGTAATTAATTTGTAGTGATTAATATAATGTAAAAGATGTTTAACAGTTTCGAAATTGACCAAGTTAAATCCACAATGCAGTTAAACGAAATATATACCAAATGTTGCTACATTTATTGTAAGCGTTAGAGTCAGTACAATATGCGTCAATATATAAAGTAAAAGGTATAACAAAACGGGTTTTTGAATTTATCTTGCCATGGGTCAGACAAAACGCATGTTGTCCTTGAACACATTTAATAAATGTACATGTATAATAATGACTGCACATCACATTTCATTTTGGGGAAGATGGACTTAAAACTATCTGAACGGTGAATTAAAATTAAAAAAAAAACAGATGAATAAAATACTTTTGAAATATGATTTCTAGTACACCTAAAATATATACGTCTGTATGATTTTTGTATACAATATACAACTGTAAATTCCTTATACAAAAGAAATGATAATTATTGTTTTGTTTTCCTTTAAATGCTTAAAGCTATATATGGCATAACTGAGCTAAAAAAATGATAAAACGAGATTGATAGTAGATATACATGATATAATGTTATTTACGTTCAAATTAAAATTTTCGCCGTTTTTGAACTTGAATAACCTCACGTTTCTATAATTAAATTGACTTTAAATGTGTCTTTTATCTAAATGTGGAAAATAAATCGGTTATTATTTTAATTCTTTGATGTCTTTGAAACGCGATTGATTTAAATTGTGTAATTTACAGAAAAGTCCTATCTTTATATAAAGTAATAAATCAAATAAAAAGGCATTTTTAATTTTGGTTATCTGAACAAAAATAAGCCACATATGACTTTAAAAAAGATTAACTCCATTGACTTTAATATACATTTGGTCAATTGATTCACAACAAACTTCGTCTTGCGCAAGGGAAAGTTTTGTTACTTTTAAGGAACTGAGCGCTACTTGTAAATGTACATTAACCCTTACTTATTACTTCATAAACAATGGAAGATGACGAGAAAAAGTTGGGTTACTCCGTTGATCATGCAGTTTACTTATTAGTTGGCCATTATCTTCTATAGTCAGTGAAAAGGTCTGCTCTTTGATTTATTGTGAGGAATGGTTAAATAAAGCGTTAAAAAGTCATATGATTTAATGGTATTGATTTTTGAAAGTTTTGAGATTTGAAATTTTCCACAAAAAATGTTTCGGTGGTTTTTTTTTCAGAATCTACATTTGATTTACACCACTCCTTATAGTACAATTCGTCTGAAGTTTCTCCTTCCAAACAAAAAGATAAATTATGCCTTCCCACTGCATTATCCGGCCTGTTTAGCACCT